ATAATATAAAACTAATATAATATCAATAAAATAATATAAAATAATGTTTAAAAATATCTATAATATTACAATATTAAGACCTGAGGCATCTGCAGGAATGATAGCAGCAGACCTGTCTTGAGATACAGATTGGTCAAAAGACCAATAGTGGCAGCAGATCTGGCTTGAGATACAGGTTCTTTGCAGATTCTGAACCATTGTCAGAATACCTTAGGGAAATCAATAACAGGCATACCAAAGATGAGAAGATCATAAAGATCAAACATACCCGAGTAGGACCAATTTGAAAGTAGTACAATGACAAAAAAGTGAGAAATGTGGAGAACAAGGTAATACTAGATATAGTTAGACTAAAAGACAAAAGAAACAAAACTAGGTAAAACATGTAAGTGAAACATATAAGTACGATTTACAGAAGACAGTACTTCTGGCATTTGAAATATCATATTAAGTTCAGTAGGTATTCTTGTCTGTGTAATGGTTTAATGGTATGCCCTAACTGCAAGTGGTTGTTAAGATAACTGCATGCAGGCATATGGCAAATATGCACTTAGGTGCTATATGAGTAACTGGGTGAAGTCAGTAGTGTAAAATTAGATAGTATATAGTACTAGTTAATAATTAATCCTAAAATATAATCATAAAATTTGTACTATATCAAATTAAAGCTAATAAACCAACTGGCATTGTCGCCAAAGTTCAAAAAAAAAAAAAAAAAATTTCTTAATTTTTGTTATATTTTGAATATCTATATAGTTTAAAATAATGCTACAACATATGATAACTTTAAAACTAATTAATTATTAGATGAAAATCTATAAAAAAGATAGCTTTTTGCTCTTCTAAAAGAACAGTTCTTGGAAGTTTTTTTTTATATATAAAAAGCTTCTTGTAATAATTATTTAATTCAAAACTTTTTAATAAAATAACTTTTTGACTATTATTATTTAAATATTATTAATAAAAAGTATTCATTATTTTATTTTTTATTATATTATTCTTTATATTTTATTTTTATTTATCTAAGTACTTTAATATTAATATCTATTTCTTAAAACTAATCTTTATAATAATATTATCAAAGATCTGTACTACTTTTCTGCTTAATTCTTTTCAAATAAACTTATTGTTTTTCAATTTCAACAAATTTATATAGTTATAAAACTTATCTAGAGTTTGTATTGCCTAATACTAATTTGCATTTCTCTATATAATGTCATACTTACACAGATGTCTCATAACCTGCTAATCATGTTAGTGTAATCACTATTATAAGATAAGTATCTTAACCTAATTATTGAAAACAATTGCTGTAATATAAGTATTATATAGGTAATTATTCAGTTCTCGTTTATACGTTACTTGGATTATTTGTTAACTACTATATCTGCTTTCGTTTCTGGTTTTTAGCGTAACTGCGACCTTATATAATAAATGCCTACTAATCATGTAAAATCTGAGTTTCTTAATTTGTCATCATGCACTGCTATCTCTCTTAGTTAAATTTGGCATGATCTCCCTTTTCGATGGTGACACTACTTTCGTTAAAGTCTAATTTTACCAATCTTACGTGGTATGAAATAATGCAAGTTGATTGGCTATCTACTTGCTGCGGCATAAAAAAATTTTGAATTTTTTTATTTTCGGACCCGACAGTATATGAAAACCAGTTAATTTATTTTGTATCGCCTAACTTACTCCGGTTCTAATAGTGGTTTGGTAGATCACGAGTTATTGACTTTTCTCCTTTATAACTATATGATTTACTAATGCCAGCACTCCAACATTATATGAAAGTAATAGTAATTCTCCGCCGATTTTTACTGCGATCTACCACTTAAAATATTTTAATTTAAAAATTAAAGAATTTATCAATTAGTCAAGTATTCGCCAACCCGGAAATTTTGGAACCTCCTTGTGCGAGTTAAATAATAAATAGTCAGATTTTTTCCTATATACCGTATATAAGCAACCCCCAGATTTTGGAGCCTAAAATTGTACTTTTTTCTTAACGTTGCCTTGATATTTCTAACGTCACGATCCACATGTCATCACAGGACTGCGGATTTATGCTACGTATGTGAAATACATCACTCACTTTATGTTATCGTTATTGTTTTACCGTGTTACCGAAACTACCAGAACACCATTTAGTTTCATGTAGTTGACCAATTGCAAAAAAGTTATCTTGACACAAACGGACCGTGCGAGCACAGTTATCTTAATTAATAGTAACGATAATTCTGATTACAATGTAAGACATTAAAGCCCCAAGGTCTCATTGACAGTTCGAAATAACGTGATCTGAACGACGAAGTGAGTAATATTGTAATACAATAGCTCTATTCTTAGCAGTGCATGCGGAAGTGCAATTAAGAAGCACCACATTACTCGAACCTGATCTTTCCAATTTATTTGTCTTCAATATCATAAATAAAAATCCAAAACTTAATTTTCTTCTCTGCCTTCAAAGTTTCAACATTCTTTTGTTTTTATTGTATTTTGATATAAAGGTCTCGGAATAACAAGCCGGAAGACTAGGTTTCACAATACAACCCAATACCCACTATACCCGAAGCAAAGTTGGAGGTTTCTGCATTTTTAACAACGGAACTGTCATCTTTGACAGTTGACGCATCTGAACACATGAGTAACGGTGAACCTGGTAAGCTCAAGTTATTTTTTGTTTCAGTTCTTGCTTTGAGATCTAAGTTGTGAAAGCAAGTCTTTCAAAATAACAACCAAAGTTACTAAATTTGTTACCTTATGTTAACTTCATTATCTTTGCTGGAATATGAAAATCAACAAATGTGCACACGAAACAATTATCACAACGAAATCTCGCAATAACAATACATATGTATAAGCTGTTGACTCAGGTAAAATCCATGCCTTAAAGCAACAAGTTCACAGTCTTCGACACGATCTTGCCGAAAAAAATGCAATACTCACCACAGTACAGAAACAACTTAACCGACATCAACCAAACCAACAAAATGGTATCGTGCAAAACGAGTCTACCACTGGAAGGGTAATTGAGAATTTACAGGCAGAAATAGATCATCTAAAAAAAGATCTCGCTGATTCAAAAACTTTAATTCACGTTGCCAAAGTTTCTCGTGAAAGAGCCGAAAGGCAAGTACAGGAGCACTTGGCATCACATCAAACTTTACGACTTGAAATTGATTCTTTAAAAAGAATGCTGGAAAGGAAGGAAAGGCAATCCAAGGAACTAGAAGAATCAGTAAAGGAAACCGAAAAGAAAAATTCAGATATGAAATTTGAACGGGATAATGCAAATTTAAAACTCCGTCAATCGGAATTAAAAGTATCTGATTTGGAACGAAAATTACAGGAAGCTTTGGCCGGTAAAGAAAAGGCAGAATATGAGTATACTCTTTTATCTAAAGAAATGCAAGCTTTTAAAACTCGGTATACTAAAGACGTTGAGATTGTCAAAAAAGAATTTAAAGCTCTACGTGAAGAAATGAATTCAACTTCACGACAATTAGAAGATGTTGTCTTGATGACAAGTGTTCGAATTGAAGAATTAAATTCAGAACGTAAGGAAGAGTTAGGAAATTTAGAATCAATTCATGCCCAATTACAAGAAAATCAAGACAAATATGCCGCAAAATTGTTGAGTGAAATTGAGGCAATGAAAAAGGACGTGGAAACTTCAAGTCAAAAGACTAAGGGGTATAGTGAACAGGTGACAAAGATTAAAGGTGAAATAGCGGGTAAATTGAATTGGTTGAAACGAATCGAAGCAGTACAACAGAAATCTTAATCAATGATTTATAGGTTACTACTTTAATGTGACCAATAAAATATGCGAAATTTGAAACTATTAATTTTCATAGAAAACAAAAATTATCTCAATCAATATTATTCTTTAACGGACTAAATATATGATTGACTCTTTATGTAGTCTTTTCTAAAAAAAAAAAAAAAATTAAAATCGGTTTTCCGTAGTGGACATTATATATACTTTTTTCATTTCATATGAGCTGCAATTATTCATTTAACTTAAAATTGTCTTCTTGTAGATTTTTTGTATTCTTATTTAAGCCTATTCATATATTGTACTTTACCTACATGCAATTCATTTATTATTACTCCTGTTCCTTTTTTTTTTTGGAAACATGAATCAAATTTGATCAACGTTTGTTTTCTAATTTGTCTTATACTATGTGATAAATATGAACTTGATTAATAATTATAGGAAATACTAAAATTCATCTATGATATACAATAATACTTCACATAGTCAGTCACCTCCGTATAATTGCACAATTAGTTTGTGATTATAGGAGAGTATGGCCGTACGACGTATTGGAGTAATGAGTGAACAAGACAAAAAATGAATCTAGTAGCCATATATTTTCAATCTCAATGTGTAGAACACTAACTATAAATTATCATTTATTTTTAATTGGTCCCTTTAAAAATGATATCTACCAGATACACACAAAATACATAAATATTATGATGCTTCCCTAAAACAAATGTTATTAGATACTTATTAAAATTGTTAATATAAAATATCGCAAATATTGAATTTGCACAGTAATATTCAATAATCAGGCACTTATGGTATGATCATAATCGATCGTCGGCACGACTGATGACATGAATTTTAGGAATATAATAAGATATCTGAAAAAAAAGGTAATGTTAGTCACCAAAGAACGTATAATCAATTTTTTGGTTTTATTTTAAAATACTTACTGATCAACTCTCACTTGTGCTTGCTCCACTTGTGGTGCGTTCGGCCCTGCAACATTACCAAATTGCTGTTGAAATAATTCAAATTTTTTTACACTTTCTTCATTCATCTTTTCGATAATTTTTTTCATAACTTGAGCATGACGACATGGATGAATGCTAGCCAAAGACATATTCAAATGTGGATGAGTTTCAATAGTCACAGTTTTTTTAGCATAGTCTTGAGAAATATCTTCAAAAGTTTGGATCGAAGTCAGTGGCCGTCGATGCTAATGCCATTTCAAATAAATATATGTAATAATCCGAATTCACGACATAAACTGAGTAATTGTCTTTAAATAATTTACCTCATCATAGCCAAACAGCCACATGCGGGGTGTTTGATAATATTTATCATACGTAATAAATACATCGTATGTTCGCACTTGAAGAATTTTGTCACTATTTTTTAATTAATAAATTGTCAAGATATAAGCCAAATAAGTTGAAGACTTATAAACCAAAATTAAATCTACGCATACCTCGGTCCATCGTCATGTGACGATGCTCCCATGTTGCTAGCCTCAGCTAACGTTGCCTAATTATCCATTTATGATTAGATATATAACGAAATTTTGTAAGAACTAAAATGGTATACTGTCGCGTACTGGATCATCTTCTTCAGCAACACCATCACCAACATCATCCATATCTGGAATATCGTTGATATCAGGAACGTCAACTTCCTCCTTGTCATTCGCATCATACAAAACAACGTTACTTATTTTTTTACAAATTTCATCTTCATCTCCTTCAATTTGTTGTGCGATTTCTTCGATATTTGTTGTTGCTTTTGAAAAATTATGATTCAATATGAAAATCTTTATAAAACAGATTATAGGTTATAAATGTAACTTATGGACAATTTACCGCGACCACTATGAGTAGCAACCCATGCATCTTCACCATTCTCTGTTTCGATTTGAGTTTCGTCATCTTCATCTGTATATTCCATCTGTTTTACGCGTCTTAAGCAAGGAACTTTTTTGTCAAAATCGGTGAAAAGTGGAATTAATTCAAAGTTTCATATTAATAATTGCAAGTTATTTAAAGAATATTATACCATTTCTTGTAATAAGGAATTGCTTTTCGACTGGAAGATAATCTCGTCTTTTGCTCACTTCACCACTTGACCTTAAAATAAATTATTACATTAGATGAATGTATTTATTAATCGACTTTCTAAGTGCGAATGAGTTAAATACCAGCTCCAAGTCGGACATTTGTAGACCAAAAAGTCACCAGCAGCTATGAACTAAATTTGTTTTTTCAAAAAAACCAAATATTATCTAAGATACATAGTAAAGTAGTTGCGATCACTTGCGAGCAAGAATGAATGTCGTTCTATGATAAAGAAAATATTTTTGCCTCAAACCTCTTCAGGTGTAATGCAACCAGTTTCTTTGAACTTAGAATTTTTAAGAACGGGACTGAGATATTCTCGAATTCCAAAAAAAAGTGTCTGAACTGAATTCATGATTTCTTTTTAGCGTTAATACAAGAAAGAATCCACATATTTTATATTTATCTTGTTTCGGTGTCATGTGGATACTCCGGATAAACATATCAATATGCAGTGTTTTAATTGGAATAGTCCAATTTGGTCCAATTCCAATTTAAAAAAATTACCCAATTAAATTTAAGTTTTTATGCACGTGAGATTACACGATTTAAAAAATTAAAGTTAGCCAATAAATTTGCACATGTTTGTGTGTAACTTCATACTATAAAAAAATTAATTTATACTATTTAGAATAAGAGTGACAGTCCGTGTAACCACCGGTATATCGAGAGTTGACTGTAATAATTTAACAGTGTTTATGAACCTGATTTTTTAATAACTAGAAAACCACACTGATTATTTAAGCTTCCTGTTATTTCAAACCTGAAAGTAAATAAAAGTAAATACAAGCTATATGTAGGTTTTATATTGCCGCAACTGGTTATGAAAAAGCCTTTAAAAAATAAATTTGCCAATATATAAAAAATATATAAAATTATTTTTTATATTTTATTCAAAAACATATTTTTTCTTATCATTAATATTAAAAAAAAAAAAACATATTTTTAAACAAATATAATAAAAACTAAACTTCACAAATTAAGATATTAATTTATCTATTGCATTTTTTATTTATAAGTTTTAAATTATATTTGTTATAAAATATTATTATTATTATTATTATTATTGCTTTTACTAAGGCTATTGGCATCAGCAGCTATAGCCTTTATTGTGATTTTTAATTATGTTTATATAACTTGTATATGATGAGTATACAACTAGCTACACATGCAAGTTTTGGTTGCCTATTTTAAGTAGTCTGCTGCATAACAGATCCTACACTAGTTGTTATATCTGCAATCTACTAGGAGATTACTTATTTAAACATTTTAATTCTTGTATGATATTAGACAAATAGTGCACAAGTTATCATATATTAGAGGCCTGCAAATTGCCTATTTTTAAGGCCCGGCCCGGCCCGCAATTAGGGTTAAAATTTTTTTTTAGGCCTGGCCCGGCCCGCATTTAGGGTTACCATTTTTTTGCCGGCCCGGCCCAGCCCGCATATGTTAAATTTTTTCTTCAGCC